TAACAGGCCCTGGACTGGTACTGATCTCTGTGGCCTGGGAGTTGGGGATCCCTGCATTACAGGAAGGCCAGGCCTTATTTTGTTTAGAAACTGTATACTGGGATAGTGATTTTTAGTATTTTTTCATTATATATTTTAAAACTACAACAAAGTAAAGGTCTTAAAAAGTTTGTGCCTTTTTTCTTTTTTTTGTCTAATTGCTCTGCTAGAACCTGTAATAGATTTTTGAGTAGAAGTGGTGAGAGTGGGCATCCTTCCATTGTTCTTGATCTTAATGGGGAAGCATTCAGTCTTTCACCCTTAAGTATGATGTCTGCTATAGGTTTTTAATAGGTGCCCTGTATCAGATTAGGAAATACCCTTGCATTCCTAGTTCGCTGAGAATTTTCATCAGGAATGGATATTGAATTTGGTCAATAGTATTTCTGCATCTCTTGATGATCATGCGGTCATTCTTTTTCAGTCTTTTAATGTAGCAAGTTGTTACATTGGTTAAGGTTTGAATGTTAGACACCCTTTGGTAATTATTCTGTAATCCTAAAAGTAGTTTTCTGTGTTTATGAGGGATATTTGTTTGTTTGTTTATTTATTTATTGTATTTGTCTGATTCTGGTATCAGAGTAATGTTGGCCCCATGAAATGAGTTTGGTTTTCCTTTTCCAGTGTCCTGAAAGAGTTTCCATAGAACTGGTATTGATTTCTACCTTAATGCTTGGTAGAATTCATCAGTGAAATAATCTGAACTGGAGTTTTCTTTGTGGAGAGGTTTTAACTATACATTCAGTTTCTTTAATAGATACAGGCTGTTAAGGCAATCTTGTTCTTGAGTTCTCTTGAGTAGTTTTTTTTTTTTTTTAACAAGGAATGTAAATTATTGAATTTTTGATATAAAGTTGCTAATAATAGTTTCTTACTGTCATTTGAGTATTTGTAGGATTGTAATTATATCAGTTCTCTCATTGCTGATATTGGTAATTTGTGGTTTCTCTTTTTTCCCTTCTCTTATCACTATTAGAAATTTATCAATTTTATTGATCTCAAAGAACTAGCTTTTGGATGTATTGGTTTTTCTCTTTTCTTCTGTTTTGAATTTTGTTTCTTGTTTTGCTTTTATCTTTATTATTTTCTTTCTTCTTCTAACTTTGGGTTTAATTTTCTCTTTTTTCCATTTTCTTAAGTTAGAACCTGAGGTTCTTGATATAAGATCTTTTTTCCACCTAATGTAAATTGGTTAACACTATAATTCTCTCTTTAACTTTTCTTTTTTTCTTCATATTGGCTATTAGTGCTATGAATTTCAGTCTAAGAAGTACTTTAGCTTTATCTACAGTTTGATGTTTCCATTTTCTTTCAATTCAAGGCACTTTCAAATTTCACTTTTTAAAAAATGGCTTTATTGAGATATTATTCACATACCACGCCATCCACCCATTTAAAGTATACAATTCAATGGTATATTCAGAGTTTAGTATATTTAGTATATTCACAGTTATCTGCAGTTATCACTAGTCATCTAGTTTTACTTTTGATTTCTTCTTGGACCTGTGATTATTGAGAAGTGTTTTACTGAGTTTTTAAATATTTGGAGACTATCCAGATACCTTTATGTTACCTGATTTCTACTCTAATCCCATTGTAGCAAAAAGCATACTTTCTATGGTTTGAATACTTTTAATTTCATTGAAACTTGTTTTATGGCCTAGAAATTGGTCTGTATTGGTACATGTTCCATTTGCATTTAAACAGAATGTATATTTTGTTACTGTTGAGTAGAGTGTTCTGTAAATGTCAATTAGGTCAAGTTGGTTGATAGTGTTGTTCAAGTCTTTTATGTCCTTATTGATTTTCCTTCTATTTTGATCAGTTATTGAGTGAAGGATGTTGAAATTACCTGCAACATTGTGAATTTGTTTACTTCTTTCATTTCTATCAGTTTTTGCTTCAGGTATTTTGAAATTTTGTTATTAGGTATGTAATGTTTATCATTGTTATAGTCTCTTGACATATTGACCTCATTAATATAAAGTGACCCTTTTAATACCTGCTCTAAAAGCTACTGTCTGATTTAATATAGTTGTTCTCCCTTAAACTTTGTTGAGTTACTTTACACACTGTAAAATTTACCCATGTTAAGTGTACAGTTAGGTGGGAGCTATGCCTCCTATATATAGGCCGATGATTTCCAAATCTGTATTTTCAGGCTTTGACATCTGAACCTGTGAGCTTTGTTGACTTTTTAAACTTAACAGGTCTAAAATCATACAAATTCATCTCTTTCTCACTCCTTCCATTTATTCCAAATCACCCTTTCTTTTCTTTATTTTTGGTTCAGTTAATATCACCCCTTTCTATCCAGTCAGTATTGTGAAAAATCTATTATTGTTAATTCCTTTTCCTTCTCATGTTGAATCACTTGCCTAAATTTCTAGCTTTCTAAGCTCTCTTATGTTGGTCCTTCTTCTCCGTATCTACTTTAAATGCATTTTATTAGGCTCTTGTCATTTTTTGCCTGGGAGGACTGCTGTGACCTCCTGACTCCTTTTCCTACTTCCAGCCTTATGTCCTCTCCCTTTCTACTCCCACCTTGCCCCAAGTCAATCCTGAGGAGGCATTCTTTCCAAGATTTAAGTACAGTCATGCCATTTTCAACTTGAAGTTCTTTAGTGCCTTGCATTTTTCCCCAGGCTGCATTGTTGGCTCAATTAATGATTGAGCTTTTGTCTTCTCTAGCTTCCTTGCTATGCTGTCTATCCTACTTTACTGCACTCTCCCCTACACTGCACACTATACATTAGTGGCCATACCAAGTTAATTGCTAACTAGTATATTGTGTTACTACTTCTGTGTCTTTGTATACTCTGCTTTCTTCATCTAGAATGCCCTTATTACTTGATCTGCATGGCAAACTCTTACTCTTGTAGTTTTTATTTGAAGATCATGTATTTCTTTCTCTCTTTCCCTATGTAAATCTGCTTTCAAGTCATATACTTGTGTGGTTAACAAGTGACTATTCTTTTCTATGTATATCTTACCTTTTCGATAGCTGTCCGTGGTATTTACTTTCTCTTTCACACATTTTGTACTACTTTGTTTACGTATTCATTAGATTGTGAACTCTTGTGGGCAAATCATGTGTCTTATTTTTCTTTGTATCCCTTGCCTTTCACATTTGGTAAATTTTATTATTGAGTTAAGTTGAAATTACTTGAATGACAGATAACCTTTGATTTAATCGGAAATTACCATCAACGCAAACTGCAATCCTTTGAAAACCCTAGTTAGAGTAATCTATAACTGCTTTCTACAGAAACAAAATCTTTTAATAGCCAAATAGGTGACCTATACCTAACTAAAGATAGAGACAGTAAGTTTGTGTTGATGGTCCATGGCTGCATTATTAAAATGAGAGTGCTAAAGCACTTAGTGTTTTGTGGGGGCCACATGACCAAAGTAATTGGATTTGGTATAAAAGCTTGAGGTTCTGTGGATTTCTCAGTGCTTAGCCTTAAATCTTTTTTAGCCTCTTTCATGTGGCCAACCAATTACTCATATTGAGAAACAGTTGGGCTTCTTCATTAACATGTTGTTTTAGGAATGGGATTACTGTTAAGGAGTGGTGATCCCAAATGTGATACAGTTTGTCCTGTTTGGCTTTTAACTACAGTCAGGACACTGGAAAGTATATGATTCTTAAGATGATAACCTTCAGAAACTTTTGATCATTTGTATGACAGTATTATTCTGTGCAAGTAGTATATGTTTATTTGCTGTTGAAAATCATCTTAGACCAGATTTGTAAACATCTCCCTTATAATAACACCATTTTAATTAACCTCTTGCTTATTTTCAAGTTTAAGGAGATCTTCTTTTTATTACCTCGAAAGCATGGCATTTCTTTTCGGAAGGCCTTAAATTCCTTCAGGCACTTGCCACTAAAGCAGTGTAGAATGCTGTTGTTTCATTATTTTCTGTACCAGTTGCTGACTATCCTATTGTCATTTCCCAAAATCATTCTTGGCCTATATTGTGCACAAGTAACTATTTACATAACTGCTTCAACTATTTTTTTGTGTGTGTGTGTGTCTTCCTGGATTATCTGAAATTTCTTTAGAATATTATTAAAATATAGGATGTTGGAGAAAGCTATTTAATATTTAACTTTGTCATAAAAAAGCTTTTAGTATTGGCCATTGTTACTTATCTTTTAAAAGGTAGCATTACATTGTTGATTCATTCAGCATATATATATATTTTTTTAGTCATTAAATGGAGCAATGGGGAGTTATTCTTGGAATTTGGCGGTAAGAGTCAATGTAAAATTCACTTATGATTGTTAACAATAGTTATCTGCCAAAGTCTTTAAAGGGCTGTCATATTCTTAGTCCTAAATCAGAAGAAGATGGTCTAGAAATCTTAACAAAGTAGTAATGGATGTGAATGAAAGCTGATGTAAACAGTGGTGTTATCATAGAAGAAATAATGTATCAATGGAAGTTTGAATGTGTGGAGTCTAGAGATGGGACCCAATAGATAGGAAGGGTAGGAAATTACGTTAACTGAGTACCTGTTGTCTTCTCACAGTTTCCTTCCCTTGCTGCACTCTTATTTATTTGTTGATTCTTTTGAGTTTTCTATGTAGAGCTCATATTGCCTGTGACAAAAGACAGTGGTTTTTTTTTTTGGGTTTTTTTTGTTTTGTTTTTTTTGAGACAGAGTCTTGCCCTGTTGCCCAGGCTGGAGTGCAGTGGCGCGATCTCGGCTCACTGCACGCTCTGCCTCCCGGGTTCACGCCGTTCTCCTGCCTCAGCTTCTTGAGTAGCTGGAACTACAGGCACCTGCCACCATGCCCAGCTAATTTTGTATGGGCTTTCATTTTCTTTTTTTGTGTTGCTGGCTAGGACTTCTAGTACAATCACATAGAAACCGTGATAGTGAGCATCCTTACTTGTTTCCCTCACTTTGAGATAGAATTACTTCTGTAGTTTGATTATCAAGAATGTGATTTGCTGTAGTTTTTGGAAATACCTTTTATTAGGTTGAAGAAGTTCTTTTTTTCTCCGTTCAGTTTCTTCGTCTGTTTCTACTGAATGAGTGTAAGAGCAGAAGTGACTAAAAGGATGGAACCCTGTACTTTTGAGGGTACATTGAAGATGATAAAGCCAATGATTAGAGGCCTGTTGGTAAAGCAGGTTTGAGGAAGAGGGAGCTTCAGAGGAAGGACCAATTTTTAACGGTGGTGGATAGAAGAGTCGTGTAAAGTGTACGAAGTGGAAACAGCAAGTGTAGTACTGTTTGAAAAAGTGAAGTGAAGGAAGGGGAACACCAATGAAGGTTGAAGTGGAGGCAGTTTTGAGGGGAGTTTTTATTTGTTTTTAAAGGATAGGTGAGACTTCATATTTGTAAGTGAAGGTTAAAGCTCCAGTAGAGAGGGAAAGAGTGAATATAAAGGAAAATTTCTGCCAACCAAAACTCCGGTGTAATTTTATGTATCCCTATGTAAATTAGAATCATCCAGAATGCTTCCAAACATGATTCAAGAGCCTAGGCGGCTTAAGCAAGATAGAAGTTAATTTCTGTTCACACATATGAATTCTGCAGGACAGTTTCAATAAGAGAGGCTGAGAAATAGAGTTTTTATTTAGCAGAATCATGGGCCTAGCCAAAACTTGAGGGCTCTAGGATTAAGGAAGAAGAAAGAAGAGATTTGGGGAGACAGTTTTCAGTATCTGCACAGTAAGTGTGAGAAAACTCTTAAATAAAATTTATCTCTCTCAGTGTTTGCATAGTGTTTCAGAAGCCAAAATGCATTTGTTTATATCTAGACTCTTTACTTACTAGCTCCTTGACCCTGAACAAATTATTTTTCTCTTTATGCCTTAATATTTTCATAATAAGGTGGAGAATAGTGGTGTTTGATAGAGAATGCCTCATACATTGATATGAGAATTAAATAAGGTAATATATGTAATTGATGAAACCATTGCCTTGTACATCTAAGCCACAATTACTAGTTTTGTTGTCATTTGCCCTTGCTCTTCAAGGCAAAAATACAAGATACAAAAAAACAAAACAAAATAAGATAACAAAAACAAAAAATACCTTGTATTACTTATGGGATATCCAAAAGTTAATTAAATATTACACATTGAGACACAATTGAAAAGAATAATTTCAAATCTCCTGAGAACTTGTAGATATAAAACTAGATTTTATTGGAAACCTTGGAAGGTACTCAGCCAAACTGCAAAGTCCGAGGGCACAGTTCTTCACATGACCACTGTCACTTCTGGCACCACTTACAAATTCAGAGGGCTCCCCAGACCACCCTCTGGCTTGATAATTTCCTAGGACTCACAAAGGGATTACAGATTACAGGAATCCAGATTAAAATCAGCCAAGGGAAGAAACACTTAGGGTGAAGTCCAGGAAAGTTCCACGTGTTGATCTGCCAGTGTCCTCTTCTCATAGAGTCAGGACATGTTCTTCCAGCACCAGTGTGTGACAGTATGCATGATTGCCAACCTGGTAATCTCATTCAAGCTTCAGTGTATAGAGTTTTTATGGGGCTTCATTATGTAGGCGTCATTGATTGATTACTCAATTGCCTGTATGGTTGAACTCAGTCTCCCAGTGGACTGATACTGTGTAACCCAGAGCCTTGTCCTAAGCCATATTGTTGGTATTTATGACATGGCCAGCTTCTGCTTTAAAACTGTTAGTTGTGGCCAACCCTACCTAAAGATCTGGTATGGCCAGCACCCAACATAAACAAGCACACTTCTATCAGCTGTGACACATTACCTCTCAGAAGCTGAAGTCAATGGTGAGACTTCTGTTTGGGCAAAGCCAAATTCTTTGCTACACAGGAGGATACAAGACACTGATGAAAAGGAATGATCTTTACAAATGAAAGTCTAACGTAATGATCTGTTGAAAATACCAAAGTTAAAAAAAATCTTAAAAATATGTATATAAGAGAAAGATCATCCAAGTGAAAACAAAACCCCCAGCTGGAGTAATTTAAAAATCTAGAAATTTGGCTGCTAAAGCGAAATTTGAGGAACCATTTGCATGGAGATCAAAATTGAAAATAAAATTTTGAGTCATATAGAGAAGAAAACCAGCAAGAAAGTTCATAGTGCTACTAAATAATTATTGTGAAAACTCAAGGAAAAAAGGAAATAAAGTACATTATTTGCTTTGGCAGTTGTAAAGATTGCTGCATTCACGTGTAATTTGGAACAGAGAGGTGAGAAGGATTGATATTATTAATGACTTACATGTGTATGTAACATTACTTTTTACTTGATTCTAAGGTAAGTAGAAGGAAGTACTTAGCAAAAAGGGGTTATAGTGCTTTTAAAGTGGTATAGTCAAAATAGTGTATGTTTTCCTCTGTGTTGATGAAGGTACTAATCATAGAGGTTTTTTTTGTTTTTGTTTTTGTTTTTTTTTAGTGATTGTTCCAGGTTGTAGGGTGAGACATGGGCAGAGCTGGAACTAAAATCTTTGTCTCCTGACTTTTGGGTTAAGTATACTTTTTTTTCTAACTGCAAAATGATTCCTCTTGGAACCCGGTTAATAGGAGGTCTGATTGAATTTCCTGGAACTCTGGAGTTTCTCTTAGGACCAGTCTGGTTAGTCTTTTCTTGCCCTCTAGTTGATATTGGTTCTTCTGAAACAGTTTACTCACTAAACTCTTAAGCAAATGGTGCTTTTTGAGGGACAAATAAAAATAAATCTATAGATTATTTAGATTTTCAAAATGTGTTTGAATAAGGCTCTTCACAATATTGCAACAGTATAGGTTCTGATGAGCAAAGTTTGACTGCCTTAACAATAACAAGTGGGATAAGATGACTGGAGCTTTCCTTTAGAGCAAACATTTACAGGGCTCAATTTTTTATTTTTAAAAATAATTATAAAAATTATGTCATTTGTAAATTATTTACATATACATGTTACTATCAAATGTACTTTTCACCTGTGGAGGAACAACTGATGCTAACACGAAGTTAACAGCAATAGTAAGTGAAAATGGAAAACTGTTACATGGCAGTGTTTTTAAGGGGTCTCATCATAGCCCATGTCATTAATTTTAATATGGATTTTGATATTTAATATTCATTTTTATTGCCTACCCTGTAGTCAGAGCTGCTGTTTACAACTTTTTTTTTTTTTTTTGAGACGGAGTTTCGCTTTTGTTGGCTCAGGCTGGAGTGCCATGGCGCGATCTCAGCTTAGTGACACCTCTGCCTCCCAGGTTCAAGCAATTCTCCTGGTCCAGCTTGCTGAGTAGCTGGGATTACAGGCGCCTACCAGCATGCCCAGCTAATTTTTGTATTTTTAATAGAGACGGGGTTTCACCATGTTGGCCAGGCTGGTCTCGAACTCCTGACCTCAGGTGATCCACCCGCCTTGGCCTCCCAAATTGCTGGGATTACAGGTGTGAGCCACCACACCCGGCCTTACAACTCTTTTGACTGTTTGTAGCCTCATGATGGTCTGTAGACTTTCTATATCATATTCATTTCAGATGGGGTCTTAGAATCTGTATTTGCATTTTAATATTTTCAAACACCTATTATATGCCAGGTATTGTGCTAGATAGGCATTGAGGGATACATTGGAACAAAAATCAGATAGAGTCTCTGAACTTAATGGAGTTAATAGTCATCAGGAGAGACAGGCATTACTCAAAGAATCACATGTGGTTAAGTACTATGAAGGAAAGATACGTGGTGCCATCAGAATGTGTATTAGGGAGGTTTGTCTAATATAGGAGATACCTGAAGAAGTTATGATTGATCAGTGACTTGAAGGTAAAGAAGGAATTGTAAGAGTGTTTTAAGCGAGGAAACCTCATGCATACGGGACTATTGATGGGAAAGAAAATGGTGCGTAAAAGAACTGAAAAGAGGTGGCTGGGTGTCGTGGCTCATGCCTGTAATCCCAGCACTTTGGGAGCCTGAGGCAGGCGGATTACCTGAGATCAGGAGTTCGCGACAAGCCTGAGCAACATAGTGAAACCCCGTCTCTACTAAAATACAAAAAAATAGCCGGGCGTGGCGGCATGTGCCTGTAGCCGCAGCTTCTTAGGAGGCTGAAGCAGGAGAATCTGTTGAACCTGGGAGGCGGGGATTGCAGTGAGCTGAGATTGTGCCACTGCACTCCAACCTGGGTGACAGAGGGAGACTCCATTTCCAAAAAAGAACGAAAAAAGATGTGTGGCTGTAGAACAGAGAGGTAGAGGAGTGTATATGAGATGAAGCTTAAGAGATAGATAGAAGGTACATTATACAGAATTCCTTAATAGGCCATAATATAATAAAATTCCTTAGGATAAGGGAAGCCATGAAGTGTTTTAAATGAGAGAGAGTCATAGTCTGAATAATTTCAGAAAGCACATTGGGTCTATAGTATGGTTGGTGAATAGCTTGTGGGTGGGTGGGGCTGTGGTTGGAGAGTGAATGTGTGAAGACTATTGGAAGCGTATTACAATAGTTTAGGTGAGGCATGACGGTAGCCTCCTTATTGTGGTTCCATCGCATGCTAAAAAGAGTATGCAGAGAAGAAGGACTATAACTAAGTAAGTTCAAGAAGTGTTGTGTTAGGCAACCCTATTGCAGAACTTCTCAGGGCTTTTAAAATGCCCATGTGCATGGTGAAACTCTGCGAGGGGATATGGGATGTTTTGTGGCATATATGTCTTGCCCCACACAGGGTGGGCTCTAGAAAGTGGTGTATAATACCTGTTCATGGAAGTTCACTGGTAGGTGAAGATGCTTTCCGAGTGATAACATATGAGCTATTGCAAACATGGTTGAGGGCTTCCACATGCCATGTAGCAATAACTTGGGGATAACATGGTACTCGGAGATAGAAATGGAAAGCTTGTTTTCCTGGGGAAGTCTCCCCATTTGTCATTGGGACAGAAAATTCCCCTTGAAAGAGCCAGTCTTCCCCATTTGATGTTGCTCTTCCTTGGGGCACTTTTCCAGGTCCTCTGTTTTTCTGAATCTATGTGCATGCTTGCACAGTGAGTGGGTGAGTTGGGAAATTCTCAGCTGGGAATGTCAGAGTACCCACTGATAATTACTCCGTAGAATCTGAAATCTGGGGACAATTGAGGGCCGTGGCGGTAACTCATGATAGCAGGCACTTTCCCTCTTTCTCTTCTGTCCTGAACCATGTTGGCCATTTGACTTATTGGCCATTTGGCTTATTGTCTCTTGATTGCAAGATGGCTCTCTTAGCTTTAGGCTTCACAAATACGTTTGAAGACAGGAATAGGAGGTTGGGTAGGTTTAGACTTAGCAGCTAAAGGCCCTTTTCTCAACTGGCTCTGTCCATTTGTTAATATATAAAGGAAAATTCCTGGTAGTTCCCTTTTTTCTCGTTGGTTGAAATAGGGTTTTATGGCTACCCTTAGCTGCAAGGGCAGCTGGGAAAGACTTGATTAACGTAGACGGATTATGATCTGTTCTCTAGGGGTAGTGAGTAGCACAGTGTTTTTCTGTTGGCAAAATGTGGGGCTGGGATTGGAAGGCCCTTGGGTGTTTCTGCCTTGGGTATCTTATTTAAGACTTCATTCAGCACGATGATGCCCCTGTCTGCCTGAGTCGCCTGAACAGATCAGCCCTCATGTCATTTTCTCATGGATTCATTCAGGGGCCAGCCTTAGTTCCCTGCCCTATTCCTCCTACATCCATCCAGTCTGTCTGTAGGCCCCATGGATTCTTCCTCACTGATGATTGACCTTTTCTGTTGCTGACTGTTTAGCCTGCTTCACCTCCCTCTCCTTTTTCTCTCTCGTTTCTTTTATCAGCACCTTCTCAGTGCTAATAACCCATTTTTTCCTCTAGTGTTTAACGCTTTATTGTTAATACTAGATAATATTAGATTGTGAATTTTTCTTTTGGCATACAGGTTTATGATTTAACACGTGCTATTCATGTAACTACCGTCATAATTATATATGTAACAATTCTATCATAAAAAAAAAAACTCCCTTGTGTTATTTCTTTATAGTTAGCCCATCCCTCATTCATAACTCCTGGCTACCACTAATCTATTCACCATCCCTCTTTTTTGAGAATGTCATATAAATGGAATTATATAGTATATAACCTTTTGAAATTGGCTTATTTCACTCAGATAAGAATGCCTTTGAGATCCATTCAAGGAGTGTGTATAAACAATTTACTCCTTTTTATTGCTGAGCAGTAGTCCATAGTGTGGACATACCACAGTTTTGTTTAACCATTTACTGTTGGAGGATATCTGGATTGTTTTCAGTTTTTGCCTATTATGGATTAAGCCGCTATAAACATTTGTGTAGTCCTCCATTTTTTTCATTATGGCAAAATACAATTAACATAAAATTTACCATCTTAACCATTTTAATGTATACAGTTCAGTAGCATTACTATACAACCATCACCATCATCCAGTTCCAGAACTCTTTTCATCTTGCAAACCTGAAACTGTACCCATTAAACAATAACTTCTCATTGTCCTATCTCTAGTCCCTGGCTACCACCATTCTACTTTTTGTCTCTAGGGTTTTGCCTTCTTTAAATACCTTCTACAAGTAGAATCATACAGTATTTGTCTTTTTGTGACCAGCTTGTATAAAGCTTTTCTTTCTTTTTTTTTTTTTTTAATGATCACAAGTCTTTATTTCTTTGAGATAAATGCCAAGAAGTGCATTTGCAGGATTCTATGTTAGTTACATCTTTAGTTTTTTAAAAAAAACCACAAACTTTTCCAAAGTGGAAAATTTTACACCATTTTACATTCTTACTAGCAATGTTATAAGTTCAGCCATCTGCAAAGTTTGAATTAAATTTCTGGAGAAATGACCCTATTGACTATTAGGTTAGGTGTTTACCCTTAGAGTAGTCTTCGTTGGTTGGTTGATTTGGAAAAGAATGGTTTACAGTAAGTACTACTTTTGTATTCATTCCTGTGGATTGGGGTAGATATAGAGGGAATATTGAACTCTCTTTCACAAAAGTGGGGCTGGGTAGGAAACCGTGTAGGTGTCCATTGCAGTAGTGGTTTTCAAACCTGTGTGCACACCAGAATCATCTGAGGAGCTCTTCATTATGTAGATTCATGGGTTTCATATAGACCTACTAAATTGGAATCTGGTTTTAACAAAGGTTCAAGAGAGTTTTAAGTAGTCATGCCCACATCTGTTGGGAATGTTACGTTATAATATCTATGCACTTTTGAAAGTTTAAAGGTTTTAGAAGCATATGCTGTACTATATAAATGAAAAACTTCCTGTTCTCTTATCTTTTCCTCTTTTTCTTTGGCCTTATGTTTATATTTTTGTCTCTTCTCTGATACTTATTCTATTTTTATTTTCTCTCCTCCATTTAGTTTTCACTGGTGTCTATTTTTTGCAAGTGTCTATGGATAAGTTACTGTTATCTCTGTTCTTAGTATGGAAATTGTATAAAGAGATTATAAAGAGAGTTTGATCTTAGGCATTCAGGGTTCCTCTTCTTTCTCATACCACATCTGAATCTCTCTCACTGATAATTCTTTCCTTTTAATAGCAAAAGTAGAAAACAAGTTCCTGGGTTTAATGGAGAAACCTTTATGTTTTATATTTAAAGGTTGACATTCTTAAGTAGGCTCACTCTTATGTTTTATTTCCTCCTTTTCTCACAGGGAAGAAGAAGAACGTCTGAGAAATAAAATTCGAGCTGATCATGAGAAGGCCTTGGAAGAAGCAAAAGAAAAATTAAGAAAGTCAAGAGAGGAAATTCGAGCAGAAATTCAGACAGAGAAAAATAAAGTAGTCCAAGAAATGAAGATAAAAGAGAACAAGCCACTGCCACCAGTCCCTATTCCCAACCTTGTAGGAATAAGTGGTGGAGACCCAGAAGATAATGACATAAGAGAGAAAAGGGAAAAAATTAAAGAGGTAATAGGCTGAGTTTTGTGATATGGAGTGTTTATGGATTTGTATTTGGATATAAACAAATGTATATGATCTATGGTATCCTGTTTTTGATCTTTTTGTTCTTGGGTCATAGCTGTAGTATAGTTTCCAGGTTGGTAATAAGGACTAGAACTCTTTCTTGTTTTGTTTTGTTTTGTTTTGTTTTTTTTAAATGTTGATTATAATGTAATTATTGGGCACTTAAAATATTTTTGATACGATGTTTAGATGGTTAGTGCCACTCATTCTTGTTCAGAGATCTTTTGAAATTCAGCATTTTATTAATAATATATCTGTATATAACTTACCATTGTCTAAGCAGTTTCTTAAATGTTCAGTTACAAAGGGACTCTGCTAGATACTATGTAGACCCCCTCATAAACGTGCTTCTAAAGAGCTAGCATTGTATCTCCAGTTTTTTAAGGAACATGTCATGATACCCCTCAACTATACTGTAGATTAAAAACACATTCCTTCCAAAAAGTCTCCATGGATTGAAAAATGGGAAAGAATTGATTTCGAAATTCTTTAAATTTATTTAGCCTCAGAAGTCTTTCAATTTGTTATTCTGTAATTACTTAAAAGTAAAGAGGATACCAGATGGGAAACATCTAGCGAATATTTGAATTAAACTTTGTTAATTAGAACTCCTAAAAATTCTGGTTGGAGTTTGTGATTATACTGCCTATGAAGAAAAATATTTTATCAGAGTGTAATTGTACCAACAATATTTGAGAAAGTTTAATTATTATAAAGTAAGATAAATTTAGTTAAAGTAATCAAATATCTATTTGGATATATTCTAGTAATGGATATGGAAGGTACAGCAGATGTTTTAAGCTTAGCCTTATGAATTATTATAAAACCTTGACCTTGATGGAGTAGAAATAGAGCTGTGCTCTGATTTTACCTCATGTCTAGAGTCTGTTTTATATGTAGACTACTTAAGGCACTTCCTTCAGACAGTGCTGGGAGAGACAGTGATAGATTTTTTTTTTCAGATGCCTGACTTGCTTTTTTTCAGATGTCATTACAATGTACTGAAATACTTTTTTCAAATACATAGTAATTCAGGTGGATAACCATGTGTGTTCAGGGGACCCCCAGATGATCCTCAGGTTCAGTGATTCCCCAGAAGTATTCACAGAACTCAGCATATAGAAATATGTTTTAGTTTGCTGAACTTTTATCCTGTTATTTTACTGAAATAAATTATTTATTTATTCTTAACAGCTTTTTTGTAGATTGCTTGTGATTTTTCTTATACATAGTCATGTCTTCTTTGAAGAGGTACTTTTCCTTTTTCCTTCTTGATTTTTATACCTTTTTTTTTTTCTTGTCGTACTGCAGTGGCTAGGAGTTCTAATACATTGTTGAAAATAAGTGGTGAGAATGGACATACTAGGTTTATTCCCAACTTTAGGGGTTAAGCATCTAGTCTTTTGCCATTAACTATGTTGTGTCAACTGTAGGTTTTTAAAAGATGCTGTTTATTAGGTTGAGGATGTCTCCTTGTAGTTCTAGTTTACTGAGAGTTTTATCATGAATGAGTGTTGAATTTTGTTAGATGCATTGTCTTCATTTGTCTCTAGATGACTGTATGATTTTTTTTCCTTTATTCTGTTAACATGGTAAATTACATTGGTTTTTGGATGTTAAATTAGTCTTATATTCCTGGGTTAAACTCCACTTTGTTATGGTATAGTATCCTTCTTAGATGTCGCTAATTTTTGTTAGGGAATTTTGCATCTGTGTTCTTGAGATACATTGGTCTTGAGTTTTCTTGTAACATCTTTGCTGATTTTGGTGTCTGATTAATGCTGGATGCATAAAGCAAGTTGGGAAATGTTTAATGAATAGTATGCTGTTAAATGAATAGATTTTTGGTACACCACAGTCTACTATTATATAATTCATCTGATATATAATTAAATACTCTGCTATTGTGTAGCTCAGAACTCCTTGGGTTGTAAAACACTCAGCTTAAACTAAGTAATACAAATAGTATTTATTGGTTTAATGGCTCTAAACAAGGGCTTCAAGTTTGGCTGAATCCAAGCCTGTAGATGTTATTGTGAGTATTAAGCATCTGTCTCTCTTTCCTTTTGCTAGTTTCTCCATGTTGGCAGAGAGCCATTATCAGCTCTGAGGGTTTATATATTACGCAGATGATGATATTGCAGAATAAAAAAGTCCCTCTATCTCCTGGTGTCTGTAACAATGTGTAAAAAGTACTTGATTGTTCCTACTTGAATCACATGTATCCACTCACTTTGTCTAGGGCAGGGGTTGACGGCTACAACCTGTGGGCCAAATTCTGCTTGCTGTTTTAAAAATAAAATTTAGGCCGGGCGCGGTGGCTCACGCCTGTAATCCCAGCACTTTGGGAGGCCAAGGCGGGCAGGTCACGAGGTCAGGAGTTCGAGACCATTCTGGCTAACACGGTGAAACCCCGTCTCTACTAAAAATAACAAAAAAATTAGCTGGGCGTGGTGGCGGGTGCCTGTAGTCCCAGGAGGCTGAGGCAGGAGAATGGTGTGAACCTGGGAGGTGGAGCTTGCAGTGAGCTGAGCTTGCATCACTGCATTCCAGCCTGGGTGACAGAGCAAGACTCCATCTCAAACAAAACAAAAATAAATAAAAATAAATTTTAATTTGAATACAACCATGTCCATTTACTTACATATTATCTGGGACTGCTTTTGTGCTGTAACAGCAGAGTTAGTTTGTTCATCTCTGGTCTAAGGATAAGGGGTTTTCTAGCTAGACTGAGTTAATTGATGGTAGAAGCAGAGCCTCTTGATTGACAGCTCTGTCATATGTGAGGAAAGGAAGCTGTTCCCAAAAAGACTAACATTTCTCAAAAGGAAAGAATGCCAAACAGGTATGTACCTCATGAAGAAAGAGGACTTGTCTATTTTACCCATTTTTTCCTGTCATATAGATGATAGTAAACATAGTTATGTATGTTTTCATACTGATACAAATGTTAATTGAATAATATACTAACGTAGATCTAGAAGAATGGGCAAGGATATAGTAATGGAACCCAAAATTACATGAAATAAAAAAACAGTTTGTGAAAAATTTAACTTGATGGATTATAATTTTTCTCTTTTCAGATGATGAAACATGCTTGGGATAACTATAGGACATATGGGTGGGGACATAATGAACTCAGACCTATTGCAAGGAAAGGACACTCCCCTAACATATTTGGTAAGTTTACTTTTTCTAATTACTATTTCCATTTTCTACTTCCATCTTTTAAAACAAGATGTAACTTTTCAAAGTACTTTCTAAAATCGGAGTATTTCTGTGGAACTATAATTTGAAGAAACATGTATGATTTTTGCAAGTGTCAGTCACGATTAAGTTCCAGTTGCTTTCGAGTACACATATATGTGGTAGATTTTCCATTTACATATGGATGCTTTAGTCATTTATGTGAGTATTTAAAAGCTTTTTTTTGGCATTTTTTTCTTTAGTGTCAGGAAAGGTAGGCACCTACTTGTCATTTTTTTCTTCAACACAATACCTATTCTGATATTCATGTTACAGAGGAAGAGGGGAAGGATAGGAAATTCTTGTAGTTTTATGTACATTTTTTTAAAAAGTGACCTACCCAGGGTGATTGAGTTACTGAATTCAGTGGGTTCACAGTTCCTAAGGAAAAATTAACAATGTATTCTGTGAATGGAGGTTTGGGGAAGCGCTGTGTTCATCTTGAGTTTGTTCATCCTATTTTCCTTGAGCTCAGTTCACTTATAAAACTTCCCAGTTTAACTTACTCAACTAATTTAACAACTTTTACTAAACCCTGAGGTAAGTCTTGAGAATTGTTAAGCTGCTCTTTGTAGTCTTCACTCCTTTCCCTCATTTTAAATGCTTCTTGATGTGACTTGATGATTGTCTTTTAAGTAGTGATAGATGAAGGCAAGAAAATTTTAATGGGCTAAAAAGACACAAACTAGTTATATGCAGTCTGATTCTCTTTATTACCTGTAGTAAACCATCACAGTAATTCAAATAACAGCAGTTTTCTTTTTGACACTAGGGAAGGATTTTTCTAATGCTGTGACTTTTCTTATAATTTGTTCATTGTTGCTTGTTTTTGGTCAAAAAAGAAAATGTCTTAAAAAATAATTTCTGTTGGGTTTGGAAGATGTTGTGGTAGAGGAGTAAAGGAAAAAAGTTTCTTCTAGGTAATCAGTGACTACCAGAGACTTCATAATATGATATTTAATTTATCAGCCATCATGTAATGAAATAAAGTATATTTTCTTAGCAAAGTTTTGGACTGGAAAGTTCTTACTGCTTTGTGGATGTCACAGTATGAGGCGTTAGTGCAATAAAGACATTAAATTTAATAGTCAGTTAAAATTAGAACCTCCCTTCGAGTAACTTTCTTTTATGTTAAACTCAGTGGTAAATTGTGAGCCTTTTAAAAAGATTGAAATATAAAAATGTATTGAAAATAAAAATTGGATGTTAATTTTTTACTTTTTTCAAATGATATTTCTCAGAACATCTAATGTATTAATATTTATCAAATAGATACTGGTCCTATCTGTTTACCAAATAAATACTGCTGCTTTAGTAAACTTTAAAGATAGAAGAAAATTAATTTGACACTTGGGAAACATCTATTGTGAGAAGAAAATTATAGTGAAATGGTAGAAAAAGAAAATCTGCAGAATTTTCAGTAGTCAAAATTAGGTGCTGCTTATTTTTTATTAAATTTTTGTGTGGTTACAGTTACTTTTCCGGCCAGATAAGCTACATAGGAATAGATCATTATTATGTTTTGTCTCGTGTTTGTAGCTATGCAGTTAGTTTGTTAAAGGATTATTTTTTATAGTTTAATACTTTGTTTCCTACTTACTCTGTTTCTGTTGTCCCTATCTCAAATTCTTACAAGTACAATTTGAGGGTTTTTTTTTAAATATATTTTTTGATTTTTTCTTTTTTTAAAAAGCAGTAAAAGTCTAAGAGAAGGGTGGTTAAGTAGTTCTCAGTGTCTCATTTGACATCCCAAATTTAGTACACCTTTACAGAATAGAAATATATAGGTGGATACGGAACCTTTGCTTGCAATATTCTAGATTTTAGGGAAAACATTAACTTAAAACACGCCCCTTTTTGTTACCCTCGATTGTTAAACAATTCTTTTATATGGTAACTGAGATAGGGGCTCCTCTGATTTCTGTCTAGTTAGTTCTTGGCATCAGAGTCCTCTTTACGTGCAGATAACAGAAAATCCATTGCAAAATGGCTTAAACTAAAAAGGAAACTTGCTGAATGAATTCCTGGTGTATATCTAATTCTATCTGAGCTTTTTTACTTTATCTTTTCTGTTTTCCTGTTTGTTAATATAATGAAGCTGGTTTCTTAGCAGGATGGCTGCAGCAGTTTGAAGCTTCATATCTTCATACTACCACATCTGTAGGAAAGAGAACACTGTAAAGAAGAGAGCACTTGGATGTTTTAGAAATATAATTGAAATACTCACTGTTTCTTATTGTTTCTGATTAGGTCTTGTGCCCACTGTTGAACCAAATGCTGTACTTAGGAGGATGGGAAATGTTCTTTTTGTTTTGCTTAGTTAGGGCCTGGCTCTGGAGCCAGGAGAGGGGAGAGGGAAATGTTGCTGGATGTAAGCACTGATACTAATTATTCTAACAGTGATTAATAGAATGGCTGGGTGCAGTGGCACGGAGTCCCAGCTCTACCGGAGGTTGAGATAGGAGGATCGCCTGGGGCCAGGAGACCAAGGCTACAGGGCACCATGATCATGATGCCTGTGAATGGCCACTGTGCCCTAACCTTGGCAACATAGCAAAACCCTTTCTCTTAAAAAAAAAAATGCAGAATGAATTCTATTTAGATGTTCTGGAAAACAGAAAGTCTTATTAAGGATAGGTCTTTTTGCATGAAGAAGAAATTATTTTAATTTGGAAAAAGAGTATTCTTTGATTTTGCAATGCTTTTTGAAGGGTACATTTTATTTTCCAGGTGTGTGTGTGTGTGTGTGTGTGTATGTGTGTGTATTTATATGTAAATAAGTTACTTTTGTTGTTTCTGACTTAAGGTGTTTTGATTTGTACATATTTTGTTGAAGATTGTTGCTTTTATATTAATAAGAGATATTGTTCTGTACTTAAATTATCTTTGTCTTGTTTTGGTATCAGAGTAATGCTGGACTCAGAAAATGATTTGGGAAGTGTCTTCTGCTTTTCAGTTTTCTGGATGAGATTGTTTAGCATTGGTTTTATTTTTTTCTTAAATGTTTGGTATATGTGGCTGAAGAAACCACTTGCATCTGGAACTTTTTTTTTTCTTGAAGGTTTTTAAACTACAAACTTAATGTCTCTAGTAGTAAGGACCATTCAGTTTATCTGTTTCATTTTGGGTGTATTTTGGTAATTTGTCGTTTTTGAGTAATTAGTCTGGTTTTATCTAAGTTATTGATTTTTTATGCATAGAATTGTTTGGAGTATTGCCTTGTCATTTGAATGTCTGTGGCAGCTGTAGTAATAATAATCCCCTTTCATTTCTAATATTAGTGATTTATGTTTTGTCTCCTCTCTTGTCCTGCTTGAAGTTTATTAATTTTATCGATCTTTTCAAGGAAACAACTTTTGGGTTCATTGATCTTTGTAATATTTTGTTTGTGTTTTCATTTCTTTGATTTCTACTCTTTATTGTTTTCTTCTTTTGCATGATTTGGGTTCATTTTGCTCTTGTTTTTCTAGTGTCGTGAAGTAGAAGCCTAGATTATTGACCAGAGATCCTCTTCTCTAATGTATTTATTACTGTAAACTTTCTAACTGCTGCTTTTGCTGCATTTTTGAGGTTTTGATATATTTTCATTTTCATTCAATTCAGTGTTTTAAAATTTTCCTTGAGTAAGTTGAAGTATTTAGAGTTTTAAAAAATCCTTCTGTTACAGATTTCTCATTTTAATTCTGTTAGGATCAGAGAATGTACTTCACATAAGTTTAATTCTTTTAAATTACTTTTGGTTTGCTTTCTGACAGAGGTTTGTCTTGGTGAATTTTTCATTTGTGCTTAGAAAGAATGGTATGTGTATATTCTGCTGTTCTTGTGTGGAACGGCCTGTTGATGTCAGTTAGATCCCATTGGTTAATGGGGTTGTTCAGGCCGTCTCTATCTTAGTTGGTTTTCTGCCTCGTTCTGTCGGTTACTGAGAGAGGGATGTTGAAGTCTTCAACTCTTATTTTGGACTTCTTTCAGTTCTGCCAACTTTTGCTTCATGTAATTTGAGGTACTCTTGTCAGGTGTTTGTCCATTAAGGATAACGCATTCTTAGGAGCACCACTAAAGCCCTAGTATCAAAACTAGACAAAGATATTTATAAGAAAAGGAAACCGTAGAGCAGTATCCCTTATGAACATAGACGTAAGAATATTTAACTAAATTTTAGTAAATCTTATTGAGTAATAGAGTTGTCCTTTGGTGTCCGTGGAGGATTGGTTTCAGGACCCCAGAGAATACCAAAATCCACAGATGCCCAAGTCCCTTGTATAAAATAGTATATAATATTTGCATTTAACCTAAGCATATTCTCTCATATATTTAAAATTATCTCTAGATTACTTAGAATACCTAATACAATAGAAATAGTTGTTATACTGTATCTTAAAATTTTTGGTTTTTAAAAATTGCTGTATTGTTTTTTAAAAAATTATTTTCCCCAAATATTTTCCATCTACTGTTGGTTGAAGCTGTGGATATGGAACTGGTGAATACTGAAGGCTGAGTGTATATTATGTTATGACTAAGTGGAGTTTATCATAGAGATACATGGTAGGTTTTACATTTGGAAATTAGTGTAGTTTAAGATATCAGAATAATAAAAGAGAAAAATCATAGGGTTATCCCAGGAGTCAGAGAAAAAGCATTTAATAACATTTAACAACCATCCATGATAAAAACTGTCAGCACACTAAATTAGAAAGGGGATTTCTTTAACTTGATAAAGAAAATTTCAAAACAACAACAACAATAAGCAAAAAATGCAAAATATACCCCACATACTTAATATTGAAAGATTATATGCTTTCCCCTAAGATTGCAAGCTAGGCAAAGGTGTCTACTCTCTCACTTTTATGTAACATTGTACATAGATCCTAGCCAGTGCACTAAGGCAGAAAAAAGAGAAAGAAAAAAAAAAAGAATAAATATTGGAAATGAAGAAGTAAAACTATCTTTACATTTTTAGTCAACATAATTGCCCATAGAGAGAATCCTAGGGAATGTACCAAAAAAAAAAGGTACTAGAATAAACAAATTTAGTAATGTTATAGGATACAAGTTTAATATGCAAAACCAATTATATGTATTGGTATACTTGCAACAAACAATTATAAATGCAGTTTAAAAAATAAAGTTATTTGCAGTAGTATCAAAAAATATGAACTGTATGTGTATAAATTTGACCAACTATGTACAGAATCTGTATACTGAAAACTTTATGTTGTTTTTGAGAGAAATTTAAAAGGACTTAATGGAGAGAAATGCCATGTTCGTGAATTTGAATGCTCAATATTATTGGGATGTTAATTCTTTCTAAATTTATGTTTAAATTTAGAGCAGTCCAATCAAAATGACGCTAGACTTTTCTGTAGAAATTGGCAAGTTGATTCTAAAATCTGTGAAAATACAAAGCACTTGGAATAGTCAAGTAATTTTTTTTAAAAAAAACAAGGTTGAAGGATTTGCACTACCTGATTTTATAATTTACAGTAAAGCTACAGTTGAGGACAGCTTGGTTTTAGCATAAGGATGGGCATAGAGATCTGTGGAAAAGAGTAGAAATAGAAGTGCACATACATGGTTAATTGATTTTCAACAAAGATGCTGAGGCAATTCAGTGATTAAAAGGATAGCCTTTCCAACACATGGTGCTGGGTCAACTGTATATTTGTATGGGGAAATAATGAACTTTGCCTCTTCTTTCAACATTGTGTACAAAAATGGATCACAAAGCTAAATATAAAAGCTAAAAGTAAAAAACTTTCAGTAGAAAACACTTGAGAACATCTTTGTGACTTTGAGGTTAGCAAGAATGCTTTTAGAATACAAAAAGCATCAAGTATAAAAGAAAAATGTGGGTAAATTTGACTTAATGAAAACTGAAGATTTCTGCTCCCCAAAGACATCAGGAAATTGGAAAGACAAACCACAGACTTGGAGAAGATATTTGAAATACATACATAAGGATGTATCCAGAATATATAAATACTTCCCCACCCAGTGAGGTATATAAATAGCCAATAAGCACATCAATAAGCAGGGAAAGTAAAATTAACATCACAATGGAATATTTCTACACACCCATTAACATGTCTAAAATTTGAAGATCAACAATACCAAATATTGACAAGGATGCTAGAGCAACTGTAACTGTTATACATTGTATTGGGAGTGTAAAATGGTACACTGTGGAAGGCAGTTCATCAGTTTCTTATAAACTTAATGTATAGCCTAGCAATTCCACTCCTAAATATTTCCTTGGTGTTCACAAATGAGATCAGGTGTAGTTGTATGTTTCTTAGTAAATTCGATTTTTTTTTCATCGATATACAGAATTTACAAATTGAATTTTAAGATCTTTTTCCCTGTGTTGTATAAAAATTTGTATAGAATAGGAGTTATCCTTAAAATTAAAGTAGTATTCTTTCTATGAAACTTCCAGAGTATGGTATTTTGATAGCGGGTAGCTCTTCAAAAACTTATCTGTTTTTCAGTCTGTTTGTTTAGATTTTCTGTTTCTTCTTTCATAAGTCAAAAATAGTATTTCCTGAGAAAGATCAAATTTATTGTGAATATATGAATAAAACGGGTCTTTTATAATTTAAAAAAATTTTCTCTGTGCTTGTCTGTTGCTGCATTTTTATTTATTACTTTGTGTTTCGTCTACCTTTTAAAAATGAGGTTAATGGTAGATTCATTGTATGGTTCTTCATGGAACCATTTCTTGAATTTATTATTTCAATAATTTTCTTCATTTCTAATTCATCCATTTCTGCCTTAGTTTTTCTCATTCTTGTGTTATTTTGCTCAAATTTGTTTTTTCTTTCTTAGAATATTAAATTCAGTTATTTTCATTTGTTCTTATTAACTAGTATAAATATTTTAAGTTTTTTTGTGAGAACTGCTTTAGTTGATTCCCATGCTCTCATACTAAATTTTTATGATGTTTTATATATTCTGCGATGCCATGTTTTGCTGTTTCTTTGACCCAAGAATAGTGTTAGGCTTTTTCATTTCTTCCTGTTCAAATCTTGACTTGTCCAGGTAAACAATCATGATAATAGCCAGTAATTTCAATTTTATGCTTTTCTTCCTTGAGCCCTTTAGCACATGGCACCTTGTGGAACTAACCAAGACTGGTACAGAATAGGTGGGTCAGGCCTTTTTCCACTCCAGAATAGTCAATACCTTAGAGAAATATGTACTTAGAGAACTAAATAAATAACTAGATAACTGAAGGAGCAGAACTATCTACAAAAATTAAAATAAGGACACAAACAGTAGTCTCAAGGATTTAAAATAAATTTGGTAAATGTTTTGGATGAAATGCTAAAATTAAAAGAGATACATATTCAAGAAGTTATGCAAGAGATAGAGATATATGAGTGATTAAATGGCTTGATACCATTTTTATCGCAATAAAAAGCCGAAGGACGTAATAACACATAATTGACTTTCTAGATAATATCAACATGAAGGGAACTGAGCAGGGAGAAGACCAAGGAATTTATCACAGTGTGTTGGAGTACTTGTCTTGTTAGCTAAGAGAAGATAGATGTATTGATAAGTTGAAGAAATTATTAGGAACACATGAGCAAAAAAATGGCACATAAATTAAGGACAACCATCATAAGAACAAATTTATGTAGCTTTAAATCATTGGAAGAAAACAATTTCTACGCAGTAGAAGGAGGAATGGAAAAAGAAAGAAGAGAATAGTAAATGGAAAATGTGAACTAAGTAATGTTGAATGCTGGCTCTGAAAATGTCACCAGGAAAACCTGTTGATAAGACAAAGCTGTTAATTATTACTTTGGTAAGGAGATCACTACCTCACTGGAGTCGTAGCTTTTCAAAGTTTGGGGTATAAATCATCATTTGGTACTTTCTGTTGAAGAGTTGATGGGTCTTTCAGGAAGTTCTTGGAATGAACAATAAATTTTTTTTGGCAACTTTTAGCTTTCTGGGCAAGAGCTCCTGGAACAGTAAATTCACCTTGTTGAAGACAATGTAATAGTAAAGCCATGTTAATGCAGGCAGTAAGCTGTGTGGATCGTTTGAATTTTTATAGGACAGAAATAATAATTGCATTTATGGGATTGGGGAGAACCCATCTCCTCCTTGATATTTATTTTTTTTGCTGTACTACTAGATTTTTTACTCTATTAGGAGCAAAACAAACCTAGCTTTGCTACTATTTTATTTAGGATTTGTACAGTTACATTCATTAGTAAGATTGGCCTGTTTTCTTCCCTTATGTTTTCATTATCAGTTAGGCTGGTTTTGAATGAATTCTTCCCTCTCTTCCTCCCTTTCTCTCTTGCTTTCTTCCCCTTGGAACTTTTTTTTTTTTTAATGATAAGGATAATCTCTTTCTTAAAAGTGGATACATTGTATTATTTTGATTTTCTCTACTCATGTTGTTTGATGGTTTCCTTTTTTCAGTGTGATCTACCTGCTTGTTGATTGTTAAGGATTGTTAAGTTTTTTTTTCCACTGTGGTTATCCAGCCCTGTTGTACATTTATTATTATTTTAAAATATATTTTTTGTTCGTCCTATGAATTTGGACCAGAGCAGAAGGACATGGTTGTCTTATTATTTAGCTTTGTCATCGTGAACTACTCTCCCCTTTTCTTGAATTAATCCTCTTTTTTTTCCCCCCCTTTCTTGGTTAAGTATACAGATATCTCATATTCTGACCAGGCAGAAAATTAAGGAAAAGTATGCTTTTAGTTTTCTTTTATCTTCCTATTTTTACTAAAGTACTTTTTTTAGTAAAATATATTAAACTATGTATATTTTCTAATATACATATAATTTCTAATGTAAAAGTGAACAATATTGGGTATTCTAAATTTTTAGTCCTTGTACTCTTACTTTAGTTTACTTTTATGTATAAGAAATTAAAATACACTGAATGTGAAGGGAATCTTTTTTTTTCCCCCAAAGAGAACAGGAGCGTAAAGTGATCTTTTTAATGATAATTTTTTTCTCCCAAATATAGGAAGTTCACAAATGGGTGCTACCATAGTAGATGCTTTGGATACCCTTTATATCATGGGACTTCATGCTGAATTCCTAGATGGGCAAAGATGGATTGAAGACAACCTTGATTTCAGTGTGGTGAGTGTATGATTGATAACTGATCTCTCAGATTGACCATGAAAAGACAATATCTAACTGCTATTGTCTGAATATTTGTGCTTTCTTATTCATATGTTGAAACCTAATCGCTAATGTGATGGTACTAGAAGATGGGGACTTTGGGAGGTGATTAGGTCATGAGGGTTGAGCTCTCATGAATGGAAAAAAAAAAACCATATATATATATATATAAAAAATATATATATAAGTTTAGTGATTAGCACAGCTCCGATGAGTTTTCATAGTTAGGCCTACACCCATTCTTCTGGCACTTTAGCATGGTTAAGTGGTACTGCTTAGGTTTGGCATAGCTGTTAATCACACGCCCAGCACAGTTGCATTCTAGTCGTGCGACTTGAGAAAGTTCCTTATCTTTCTAAACCTGTCATAAAATTACTATTCCATTATAGTATCGTGAGGATTATTTGAGATAATCTGGTACATATTAAGTGCTCAGTAAATGGTGGCAATTATTTTCATTATCACCAGTCTTCACCTAAAAGATGTGTGGACTGTTTTGTCATATTCACATCTTTTGTGATATTTGTGCTTGCTTTTCCTTTTGACTACTTCTTTATGTACTTCTCTCTGACAGACTCTTCATTATTTAAATTGTGATATAAGTCCATAATTATTTCTTCTCTGATGCCTTTCTTGGTGCTAACTAGACAAAAATGGTTTACTTTCCTTTATTTTACTGTGGCATTTGGACATATCTCAATGAGAACAAATTTTATTACCAGTTAAGTTTAGGTTTGATGGTGAGTGGCAGAAAACCTAATATAAAATAGCTTAAACAAGATAGATGTTTATTTATTTTTTCATGTAAATCAAGTACAGAGATAAGCATTTCAGGGCTGGTTTGGGTGGCTCCTTGATCATCGAGGATCTAGGATCATTTGTCTTGTTGTTCTGTTGCCTTCAGCGTAGATCTTAGACCTCATGGTATAAAATGGTTCCTAAAGATCCAGGCATTTTATCCAGTAGACAGAAAGATATGTGACTGTTCTTTAAGAAGACTTCTCAGGAGGTAGTCTCCCCCGGTTTTGCTTGTAGAGTTTACTAATACGGCCTCAACTAACTCCAAAGGAAAGCTGAGAAATATAGTCTTTTTTTTTTTTTTTTCTGTGTAGCTATGTAGCCTTTATACAACAAATTGTGTTTTTTGTATCTTCTTTAAGAAAGCCGTACTCCTAGATCACAAATATATTTTCTTATATTTTATTCTGAAGGTTTTAAAGTTTTGCTTTTGTATTTGGTCTTTAATCCAAATGGAATTGATTTTTTTTTAAATGTGGGGTGAAATAGGCCACTATTAGTTGATCGTAGTACCATTTATTTCCCTGCTATTTGTATATGCCACATTAGTCATATATTAGTCATGTTATAGTTGATTCTTTAACTTTGGCTTTTTTATTTATCCCATATATCAATACTAAATTGTCTTAACTACAATTTTTTTTTTATAAGAAGCTTGATGTCTGTATCTGAATCTTGGTATCTGATTTTGTTCTCTGCAGAAATTATCTTAGTTCTCAGCTTTTTGTTCTTTCAAGTTCTGGAAAACTGTGTGGAAATTTTGATGAGGATTGCATTTAATTTACAGATTAATTTGGGGAGAATTAGCATATGTGCAATACTCCCATTCATTGACAGGGCAGCTTTATTATGGCTAATAATTTCCTTGTGTATAATTGTTATCAGTCAGGGTTCAGTCAGGAACCAGAACTATACCATTTATTTTAACTAGAGTATTTAAGGTTTAGAATTGTTATCCAACTAATGGGGAACCAGAAAGGCAAAAAGAGAGCATTGTGATATCACCAGAGGTGTTTAACTCTAGGAAACAGGAAACAGCTGCCACCTGTGGGGGCTATCAGAACAATGGGAAGAGGTTGGTTGGGATCATTAAAATGCAGTAGCTTGGGCTCTGTAGAACTAGTACCTGTGCTGCCCAGGTGTTACTGGTACCTTAGGAAGACTGTGTCAGAGCTGGGACTCAGAACTCTGAGGAGGAGACACCTAGCCAAGTGCTTGATATCTGTAAAGGAAACCATGAGGCTGATTTGGGGATTGTGTGTCTGTATGTGTGATAGGGTACTCTGGAACCAGTTGCCACTGCCAGGGTGAACCCTGGCTGGTGTGACACTATCAGAAACTAGAAGTAAATAGGAGGGAATAAGACTTTTCTTCCTCCAGTCTTGTATTGTCTTTTTAGAGCCTCCTATTGTTAGTGTCTAAAAGGGAGCCAGCTGCTAAATTAAATGCATTTGCGTAGTTCCAAATCCCATATATCAAAATAGAGTATAGAAGAATGGATTTGAATCTGAGAGAAGTAGTTTAATCATCAGCACTGTCACTTTTTGTTCCTTTCTTTCAACCTTTTAATGTCATTATGTTTTAGCTGCTTATTTTGCATATAGTATGTATTTGGGTTTTGTTATTTTTATCCAATCTTAGAGTCTTTTTAACTATTAAGTTTGATATATTTACATTTATGATAACATATTTGGAGTTAGGTCTTTCGTCTTTGTTTTGCTACCTATGTTATGATTGTACTTTTCATTTGCTTTTAGTTTGTTTTCCTTATTTTGGATTAAATTACATCATCTCTCTTTTTCCCTCTACTAGTTTAACATTATACCTTCCATTTCTATTGACTTTGGAGATATCATTGAAGTTTAAAAATATATATATATGTATATATACACACATATATGATATATATATTTATAAAATATATTAAAACTAAGTTTTATCTCTTTTTTGTGCTTGTGCTCTGGTGTTAGGAGCAAAACAATAAACAATATATATGTTCAAACTTTAAGGGTAACTCCAAAGTAGGCATGTGCACACACACACTCTCTTATCAAAGTATAGTATATATAAGTATATATAAACTTTAAGGGTAACCCTGAGCAGGCAGATAAATATATATATATGTATTTGAAATTAATCAATTTCAGATCAGACATCGTAGCTCATGTCTGTAATCCCAGCACTTTGGGAGGCTGAGGCAGGAGGATTACTTGAGCCCATCCTGGGCAACATAGTGAGACCTAAACTCTACAGAAAATAAGTCCCAGCTACTTGGGAGGCTGAGGAGGGAGGATTGCTTGAGCCCAGGAGGTTGAGGCTACAGGGAGCCATGATCATGCTACTGTACTCTAGTCTGGGCAATAGAGTAAGATCCTCCTTCTGAAGCATATAAGGGTTTTTAGAATGTTTTAACTTAACTCATCCCCCTTTTGTTTTATGTGTCATTGTTGTCTAGTTGATCCCAAGTTGTATTTTAAACTTCCAAATTAAGTAATAGATAAAGAAATGCACACATTTATCAAATGCAATAGGCACTGTTCTAGATTCTGTGGATATAGTAGTCAACAAAGCCGAGTTTTATCTCTTTTTTGTGTTTGTGTTCTAGTGTCGGGAGCAAAACAGTAAACAAGTTTTATATAGTACATCAGATGGTGATGATAAGTGCTGTGGAGAGTAATAAAGAAGAGTAGGTAGGATTGGTGTAAGTGGTGAGGTACTGCTATTAGTATTTTACATGGGGTGGTCATGGAAGAACTCTTTGTTACAGTGACACTTCTGAGAAGAGACCCAAGGGGAGACATGTGGATATACAGCTCTGTCTTAATAGATATTAAAAGTGAGAATAGAAGTACAGTTTGTCTTTCCTGCTTCTGTTATACTATTGCAAAGTGTGTTTTCAGTCTAATTTTAAAAAGGCAATCTGTTTTTTGCCTTGTTTTAATATTTTATTTTTCACTTTGTTGTTCCATAATTCTATTACCATACATCTATGTGTGGGTTATTCTTTAAAGGATTCATAATGTTTCATCAATCTGAAGACTTATGTTTTCATCAAGTTTAGTAGATTCTCAGTTATTACTTCTTTCAAAAATGTCTCTATCCATTTTTCCCTTCTGTCCCTCTAGAATTTCTCATACCTTTTGTTTCTGTAGTGAAGGAAGATCGTTTTACAAATGAAACTATTTTATTACCGTGTGATTATATAGTTAGATGATGATGTGTTAATTAGGGAAATGATGCAAGGCAATTGGTATTAATATTTTATATTAGATGGTCAGAAAAAATTTCTGATAAGGTGACATTTATTCAGAGACCTGTAGGAAGTGAGAGTGATTTATTCAGTTATGTGAAAGGAAACCATCCAGATAAGAGGGTAACTAAAGACTGACATAGGAGTCTCAAGTTTAACAATTCTGGGTTCAACAAGTAGACCCATATAGTTAAATGAATCCAAGGGATATTAGTATGAGAGATGTCAGAGGTTGTAGGGGATCTGAGCATATTGGATCTTATTGGTCATTTTGCTCTAAATATAATGTGAAGGCATTGTAAGGGTTTGCACAGAGCAGTGACCTAAACTGATGTAAGATTTAAAAGGCTCATTTTAACTATAGTATGCTGAATAGAGGGTAGGGGAGGAGGGTAAGTATTAAAGCAAGGACTGGTTGGAATGTTATTGTTGCTATTCTGGTGAGGGATGGAGGCCGTTCCACCCTTTTTTCCTTCCTCATATTTAGTGAATGTCTACTGTGTGCCCTGTAGTATGTTAGATGTTGGGAATATATGAAGTAATATTAAGCAGTTTGCTTTCAGAGTGAGATGGAATGACGATCTTGTTATCAAAAAATTACATTATATTGTAAAAATTCTATACTGGAGAAATATGTTAGCAGATGATGTGCCTGCCTATGAATGTTGGAAAGACTTTAGAGTAATACAGTTTCCTTTTAATTTTGATTAAAATTAACTATGAATGTTTTTATGTTAGTTGTATATCTTCTGTAGATTCTTTGATCATGTTCTCTGCCACTTCTACTTTTCTTTCCATGTGTTAGAATATTTCTAGCAATATCTATATCAATATCTAAATACAAACATAGAGACTATATTTAGTAAGGTTATTAATATTGCTATATTTGTGCTGTTTCCATCTGTTTGCCATTTAATTGTGTTCATGATTCTTTTTCTTATAGGTAATTTGCATTTTAGAAAAATTTCATGTCTGTCATCAATGTATCAAAACTGTTGGTTTTATGCTTAAGTACCTGCTTTCTCAAGGAAATTTATATATTGTAACACTTCTACTTTTTAAATTTTTTTAACATTTATTTCTAAATAATTTAGATTTCATTTTGATATTTGTGAAATTAGCATTTATGTTAATTTCTTACCCAGGAGGCAATTTTCTCAACATTATTATTGAATAATCCCATCATTCTGCCATTTTTTTGGTGCCTCCTTTAAATTTATTATATATTCTAGGAAAAATACTTAAAATCCAGAAGGAGAGAGAGAAGTAAAAATTATACTGTAGTAATTAAAACATAAGAAAAAGGACCACCAGTAAAGAGTGCTATTCTAGAATCATGACCCAGAATTCTAGAAATGAAGGCTTTCATGAGAAAGGGCAATAGTTAACAGTATTAAATATCTTGATAATTTCACAGTACTGTGTAAGGTACGTAAAAAATGGCTTGTTGATTTTGGCAATTAGGGAGCTGTGGTGACAGTAGTAGAGAAGTTTCAGTAACATTAAAAAATGAGAGGAGAGATTGCAGTTGCATGAGAAATGAAGATGCAGAAAGTAGAAAAATATTTTCCATAGGGTGTTTGTGAAAAACAAATGAAGTATTGATGTTTTGAAAACTATAAAGCATTACGTATTTGTGAATATTTTCAATATTTTTTCACAGAATTCAGAGGTGTCTGTGTTTGAAGTCAACATTCGATTTATTGGAGGCCTACTTGCAGCATATTACCTATCAGGAGAGGAGGTGAGCAAAATCAAGCAACACGTTGTTTGTTTTGGAGGAAAGGGTTGGAATTTAATAAAATGAACAATTTCCCTAGAAGCGTATTATTTTTCTAAATTGGTAATATTGAACCAGTCTAGAACTGGATGCTTCAGGCAGAACTATTCCTTGGGAATAATAATTTTTCCATTTTGAGAATCTCAATAAAACTACAGATCCGAGCTTTATATACAACCGTGTCTCCTTTGCAAGAGTGATCCTTCTCCAGGATTTTGCCATTGCAATTAATTCCATGGTCCAAGTAAAGGGGGGAAATTAATAAGGACAAAATTAAATAATGAATCAGAAAGAATTAATATGGATCCTCCTAAGACAAAAAATTAATAATTAAAACTTACCGTTTGGAAATTGAATGCAGTTTTTGGCTGTAAATAATAACAACTCTGAATTCTCCTCTCTGGAAATCTTGGTACAGAACACGTGGAGACACTTGAGACTTAAGGTGATGGAGAATTGGGTGTAGGAAATTCCCTTTTACTATTCAAATAGGTTAAAGAATGACGTTGAAGAGAGGGAGAAAGAGAAACTAAAGGAAGAGGTTATAAGTAATTTCTTTGTTTTTTGAGAAGCTGTTTCACCCATATTTTAGAATTGGTGTTTTGATCTGAGCTGTTTGTAGATTTAAGAAAATTTATCTTTTGTTATATGTATTATAAAGATATATATCTATGTTATCCATATTTTATTTAATTTTTTTTGTTATCGTTAAAGTAATCATTTAAAGGATTTTTTCCCCCACTGTTATGGCTTCTAGATTTTGGTCCTTAGAAACCCTTTCCTATGTCTGTGTTACTACAAAACAAAAATTCCCATTTTCATCTGGATTTTTATGACTTTATATACTTTTATCTTTATATTTCATATATTGTTATTTTGTGTGTAAAGAGTGACCTATTTATTACTATTTTTTAAAGAAGAAATATGTTTAAAGATGCTGGTATTTAATATATAATATTCTATTACATTTATCTTAATGTGTAATTTTATTGTCAAATTATATTGTGTGATTTGTTTATACCTCTAACCTGTATTTCTATGGTCAGAACATTTAAATTCACATTTAATAAAATAGAAAAAAATTGGTTTATACTCTGGCCAAGAGGTTATCAAACTTTAGTATGTGTTAGAATCACATAGGGTGTTTTATAAAAATGAGGATTCCAAGACCTACCCGAAAGACTGATTCACTGGGTTTAGCGTGGAGAGTATTATCCTACGTTGTTTGTGCCAAATACTCCTTGTTAAAGGTGATTTTGGAAACATTGGTTCTATATTTTGAGAAACTCTAACCTGGCTTATAGGAATGAAATCATTGTGAATTAATTAATATTTTTAGTGAGGTTTATTGAGGTATTATTTATGTAGAGTAAAATTCAGCATATAGTTTTACGAGTTTTTACAGTGCATAGTCTTGTAATCACCAGCACGATCAAGATACAGAATGTTGGTATCCTAGAAAATTTCCATTTACCATTTTACAATTATCCTATCCTGTTGCCAGCCCCTGATAACTACTGATCTCTTTTCTGTCTCTACAGTTAAGAATGCTGGCTTCTTTTACTTAGCGTAATGCATTTGAGATTTATCCATGTATTAGTAGTTTATTCCTTTTTACTGTATTACAGTACTCCATTATGCATTTTATATATTTATCGGTGGAATTATTTACAGTTTTGGAGATTATGAATAAACCTGCTGTAAGCATTTGCCTATAGATTTCTGTGGGAAAATAAATTTTTATTTATCTTGGATAAATACATAGGAATGGGATTTACTGAGTTGAAGGTTAAGTGTATATTTAACTTTGGAAGAAACTGTCAGATTCTTTTCCAAAAATTGCCTCTCATTGTTGCGAGTGCTTTGTATTGTGAGTCTCTTTATTATTGTTAGCCATTCTAATAGATGCGTAGTAGTATCTCACTGTTGTTCTATTTTGCATTCCCTGATGACAAGTGATGTTGAGCATCTTTTCCTGTGTTTGTCACGCATATTTTTTGAATTAGCTGTTCAAATCCTTTGCCTATTTAAAAATTTTTGGTTTTTTTTGAATTAATAAATTGTGATAGTTCCTTACATATTTTAGACATAGGTTTTTTATAATCTGTACATTTGCAATTATTTTCTCTATCTGTGGCTTGTCTTTTCAGTGATTTAACAGTGTCTTTTGAATAATGGATGTTGTTAATCTGAAAGTACAGTTTACTAATTTTGTCTTTTATGGTTCATGCATTTGGTATTTTAAGAAATGTTTGCCTAATCCAACATCACAAAGATTTTCTCTTAAGTTTTCTTCCAAAAGTATTATAGTTTTACTTTATTTGTATTTTTAAGTCTATAATTGATTTTGAGTTAAATTCTATATACACTGTGAGGTGTAAGTTGAAGTCTATTTTTTTTCCATATGGATGTTGAAAAGACTACTTTTTCATTAATTGACATAGTACCTTTGTTGAAAATCAGTTGATTATGTATGTGTGGGTCTACTCTAGACATTCTGTTTTGTTCTCTTGATTTATGTGTCTGTCTTTGGTACTACCACGTTGTGTTCATTATTAGGGCTTTATAGAAAGTCTTGAAATCAGGTTGTATGAGTCCTCCAACCTTATTCCTTTTCAAAATTGTTGTGGCTCTTGTAGTTACTTTTCCTTTTTGTGTACATTTTAGAATCAGCTTGTTGATTTCTATAAAATAATCTGGGATTTCAATTGAGATAAATTTTGAATGATTTGACATCTTCACAGTATTGAGTGTTTCAATCCATGAATATGGTATATGTCTCCATCTATTTAATTATTTTTTTTCCATTGGTGTTTCTAGTTTTTAGCATACAGATCTTGCATGTATTTTGATAAATTTATACATATTTCATGATTTTGGTAGTTTTGTATTTTAAATTTTAGTTTCCCATTGTTCATTGTCAGTATATATAAATACATTTGATATTTAAAAAAACTTTTAATAAAGACTTAAATTCTCAGCTGGCTCAGGACTTTTTGTTTCTTCTAGGTAACTTTGTGATACTTTCATTTAAAAACAAAGTGCTGAAAGGTACACAACATAAAATTTATCATTTTAACCATTTTAAATGTGCAGTTCAGTGGCATTAAAAATAACATTTGCATTGTTGTGCAATATGCAATTGATTTTTCTTTTTTTCTTTTCTTTTCTTTTTTTTTTTTTTTTTGAGACAGAGTTTTGCTCTTGTTGTCCAGGCTGGAGAGCAATGGCGTGGTCTTGCCTCACCGCAACCTCCGCCTGCCGAGTTCAAGTGATTCTCCTGCCTCAGCCTTCTACAATTGATTTTTATATTGACTTTTTATCCTCTGATTTTTCTAACCTCATTAATTAATTCTAGTAGCTTTAAAATATACTTTAGTGAATTCTTTGGGATATACCTTGTAAACAATCATGTCATTAGTAAATAGAGATGAGTTTTATTTTTCTGTGTAGAGAATGGTTATTTATTTATTTTTGTTATTTTCCTGCCCCTTCTCCTGGGGCAGAGAATGGTTTTATTTGTGTGGTTCTTTTCTTTTTCTTGCCTTACTGCATTGCCTAGGACCCCTACTACAAAGTCGAATAGTAATGGGTGGAGTAGGCATCCTTGCCTGGTTCCTGATCCTAGGAATTGCAGTCATAGCTTTATTCTCTACCATGATCATGGCATATGGCTTCAAAAGTACTGTGATCCATAAAAGTTTATTATTTCTCTTGGTCTGCTACTTTAACTGTCCAGAACCTTTTGTACCCATAAGATTTTTGCCTGGTTTGTCCTTTCTGTGCCCTGGAGTGAAGATAGTTCCTAGAAAACACTAGTCCCAGAGGGAGAGCTTTTGCTCATGACTTGGGAAGGAGTGGGATTTATGACTTGGACCCCTAGTCTCTTTCAGTCCCCTCAGCTCTACTATATGTGTTTCACTCCTCTGCCTTGAGTCTGTAGTCTATTGCTTACCCCATTCTCTGTCTACCTCAGCCTTACATACAAAGAGTAAGTCTGGGCTCTTTCTCTCAAACGTCACTCAGAGAGTTCCTTATAAAACCTTTGGGATTTAGGTTTCCCCGGGAAGGATGGAACATTCATTGTTGGGTCTCATCTTTTCCACTTGACCCAAAACTTCCTCCCCACAAAAATGTCTTTAAGAATCATCCTGAGTTGCTTCATCTGCTAACTGCCAATTCTCTAACACTGAAATGTGGCAGATAACTGGACATATTTGAAGGACATCTTTATGTAAGAGATACATGGGGTCAGGAGATAGTCACCTTCATGCATTGCTCTGCCAAGAGAAATAAAACCGACTTCTTTTTCCAAAAGAAGGAGACAAAACAGGAGAGGGGGAAGGGAAGAAAAGGAGGGAGAAGGGAGAAGAAGGGAAAGGGGGAAGGAAAGAGGAAGGAAGAAAAGGAGGGTGAAGTGGGGAGGGAAGGGGGAAGGATCATACCTGTATCTATAAAAAAAATGCATAGTTTTAAAACTTGGAAAGGAAAAAACAAAACTCCAAACCCAAGTTGCTTCACTGGCCAATTCTACCAAATATTTAATATCAATTATATGTAAATTTCTCCAGAAAAAAAAGAAGAGCAAACAATTTTTCAGCTTATTCTATGAGGCCAGCATTAATCCTATGTGACACACACACAGAGGTATTAAAATAGAACTATAGATCAGTATCTCATGTGAATATAGATGCAAAAAATTCTCAACAATATATCACAAAATCAAATCTAGCAATATATAAAAAGGATAATACAGCATGACCAAGTGGGGTTTCTTCCTAAGAATGCAAGTCTGGTTTGATGTTCAAAAATCAACCAATATAATTCACTATGTCAACAGACTAAAGAGAAACATCATATAATCTTATTACATACCGCAAAAACATCTGACAACATGTAACATCTGTTCATGATAACAACTCGCAGCAAACCAGAAGTAGAAGGGACCTTTCTCAAGGTGATAA